GTCGCGTACTGCCTTTTATAACTGTATCGTCAATAGGCCAGGAGCGTACTGTTGGACAAAAACTACATGCCTTGTTGCATTGGCAATTGGCATTGATCTGATCACCTTCTCAAGCTCTAGGTGAAAAAGGATAGGCGACAAGGCATCACCCTGTTTTGAGTCCAGATGGCTGCCAAACTTAACTATACTCATCAAGTCAGTTATACAAATGTCTTATATATCTATAAGGGATACAAATATGCAATGTTAACTTGGTAATTAAAAACAATGAATCAAATATTTGTAATTAATAATAGTGTTCAAAAAGTAAACTCCATAAAGTAACTCCTAAAGTTGAATCACATGTTTGAATTATTATTGCATAGCATTTTACGTTTTAATCATTTAAACTGTGTTTCAAATTAATAAGAATCGGGACCAATTACAAACACTTAATGTTCTTACTAATTTTAGATTTCCAATCTCGTCATTCCAAAAGAGAAGAATTAAAATGTAACAATAAATAAATAAATAAATAAATATACTTGCCCATTTCGGCTGCAAAAAAATAATATGTAATATACGATTGTTATTAATAATTAGCTGATCCCATGCACTTCGTTACCCGTTAAATTTACGAACTCTATACGACTCAAACTTTGGTCAGTTCGGTATTTAATATTCGGTGTATGGTGTTCAAAATTTATCTTATATTTTCGGTTACCCAGTATAAATATTCTGTTTCCCGTGACCCCGTGATGTTTGTACGTAAGTGTATGATTTAACTCTGAAGTATCAAAGTTATACCAAGTTTATTTTGATATAATACGGTGGATTAATGTAACAAATTTGGTTGCTCGTAAAAAATCGCAACTCTTAAAAAAATTATGATTGTTGAACTCCTTTTGGGTGTAACTTGCTGTGGTGAGTGCAACTCAGCCACCCTGGTAGGCAATGTTCAATAATTCGATTTGATGCAAGCTTGTACTTGATCTGCCCGAATAACCAATGACAACCAATAAATAAATGCTAATTTCTACCGTAGACTGTAACCAATGACAACTATTAATAAATAAAAATAAAATTTTAAATTCTATCGTGAATCTCAATGTCCCTGTTTGAGCACCTATTTAAAATGCGAATTTCGGCAAATTCTTTCTTATTGCATGGCGAAAATATGAGAAGAACCTCTATTCCAAAATTCAAGTCCGTACGTTGAGTAGTTTTTGAGCGATCAATGAGTCATTGGTATTTGGATTTTATATGTATATATAACTAATTATTGACTAACAATATCGGACTTCATTTATGCCTAAAACCTGCTCCGTGATATCCTCTTTCATTTAAAAAAAACTGCATAACAATTGGATAAGAAGTTTCTAAGCCAAACCGTAACAAAGATTTCCTCTTTTGCTTGATTTCAGTTTTATATATATAGATATGTTACAATTAAAGTGTTAAATCAGTTAGTTTATGAACTAACTAAAATGTGTAGGCAATGGATGTATAATATAGTTTATACTTTAACTAGTTATTTTATAATTAGATACATAGAAGATACGTTCCTGTGACTCACTTCGTTGAGAGGACTCTACACAGATATATTTTATTATTTCCATCCTACTAGTGCATAACATAGCAAATTTAAGCTGAGCAGATCATGTTTAACTAAGTTAGTTTAATAATTAGTGTGAATCAACCTATTATGAAACTTGATCGTAAGAACATTATCTGTGTTTATATGTGGGTTTTTACGATCATTCAGTTTTTAAGTAAGTTATGGCTATTTTTAATTTAAGCTCTATTATATACCGATAACTTACTAAACATTAAACTATCCTAAAAAACCCACATACAAACACAGATAATGTACACTGTAATAATTTACTCTAATTTCTAAACTTTTCTAAACGGGCTAAACGCGTTGTCCTGAGCGTAAATTAAAGCAAACAAATATCCGTGTCGTCTTAATGTGTCTAAATTGCACAAAATATGTACATTATCGGTATTTTACTGTCCATTATAATAATAAGTCATATAAGAAACTGTTAACCTAATTTTCTATTCAAATATAAAAACATTATAAAGAACAGCAATTGAAAGATTGATATTACATCGTATGTCAAGAACTTCTCATGACTACTTAAAGAAAGAAAGACAGAAAGACATTACGAATAAAATATAACTAGATACCTACTCTAATGTTTCTGATCTTTGATCTTCAATATATACTTATCTATAAATGCACATTAAAGTTAACAGACTAATGGATTCATTTTTAATACCCTGATATAATACAGTCTTAAAATGTCGCACTGGTCACAGAATAAAATACCTACATAGCGTATTGTATATATGTATATATGTATTACATTTTAATTATAAAAAAAAAAAACAAAAATGTACGTACCAATTTTTTCTTGAAAAAAATATAATAACAATTAATTATAATAGGAAAAAGTTGTATAATTTGGATTGCATTAGTGAAAATAGCATTAATTATAATAAAATACTATGAAAAACATAGCAGATAAATAATTACTATGGCACATAAATATGCAATAGGTACAATAAAACCATGAAAATTACTTACGAGCTATTACCACTGGTTAAAAAAAAAAACAAATATTTGTGCTAAAGTATTTATTTTATGTTAATTGGAACAATACATATTAAACATAATATGAAAAATATGGTCAGGTAGACACCGCTCTGCAGCACTGTTGACCCTGGAATCTACAGCCACGGGTAGTAATTTTATAATTAATGGCTGCCAAGTAAGTTTATTACATCAAGCCTAACATTTTATATTAGATACCTCAGTAACTATGTAGGTTTTAGACAACTTAAGCGTACAACTCATGTCTATTATCTAGTAGTCAGTGTAACCAACTGTTACACAATTATTACAAAATAATAAGTTGTCTAAAACCTACATAGGTACCTAATAATATTAACAGTACGTATACATAAGTAGCTTCAAATCTTTATAATATTGATAATAATTGGTACCTATTTTAAAGATTGTAAATATAATAACCGGTAGACAAGTGTTAATACCACTCTAAAAATATTATTTAAGATATTTATTTATAAGATATTCGACTACATTTGAAAATGTCATTGTATGTACCTATATAATAAAACAATATATTTTAGACTAAAAAAAATAACTAAAAACATTTTGAAGCATTTTGAACCTACAAAAAATCGTTGCCAAAACCTAATTGCACGCTTAAAATGGACACATAAGTAAATGATATAACTTGTGAGTGGTCGGTATATACCTAGTATGGACAGACCCATATAAAAGGTGACATTGCAATTAGGACCTTTTTTTTTCGTGCAATTAAGATACAGACAAAAAAATTGTATTGACATTAACTATAGTCAAATAGTTTATATTACTATACATTAATACGCAATTGGTACAATAAAGAAACAAAAAATACAAACACTGTTTTCCCTCTAGATAAAAAAAAAATAAATATGTTAAAGTTTTTATATTAATAACATTTGATTTAATTTGTTACTAAACATAATAATAATAAAGTGGGGAAATGAACATCACTCTCCTAGTCTCCTGTACAGTACTATAATATTTGTCTAGAGGGGTCACAGTAACTAATGTGTTAAATTTGATGTATATTTGATTCAATGATATAAAATCATTCTGAGCGAAGACGGGTTGTCATACTATAATAATTAATATTACTAAGTATATTTTATGATATAACTGTTATTAAACTATTTAATTATACTATTAGAGTCTAGAGATTATAGTGCATTTGAAAATTGTATTTTGTGAAGTCAATGTTATAACATAGGTACCTACTTTAAAGTTTCAATTACCCACGAAGTTTTTCAATTACAACAAAATTACTAAAAACGTTATTCTTTGTTTAAATATCTGTAAAAAGATTGCATTTATATATTTTTTAGAATTTTTTATTACAAAGTAAACTACTTATAAGAACCTTATCATAATAAAAAAATAATAATAATAATAATTTATTTTTAGTAAAAACAATATAAATTTACACTAATTTGCTAATTTATACAACTCCCCTTTAAGCATAAGCTTGTTTTTTTTTTTTTTTTTTTTTGGGGGGGGGGTATATAAGTTTGAGTACAATACAAGGGAAGAAAAATATAAAAATTATTGAACAAATAGAATAATCACAAATCTTATATAAATTAATTAACAAATAGTATAATCACAAATCTTATATAAATTGAAACGTTCTGTAACAAATTTACGTGCCTGAAATCTAAAGTTTTCAAAAAAATTTAAATGTACAAACATTTTTGAAATTAAAAATATTAATATTATGCTGTCTACATATTTGAGTAGCTGTGGATACAGATATTTTTAGACCTGATTCCTTTTTAGAAGTAGGTACAAAAATATTAATATTCTCTTTGTGTCGGGTATTATTATTTTCATTAATGTAAAACAGTATAACAGTGATAACAGAGCTGCCATCTACAGTTGTTCTTTTTTATTCAATTTTATATACATAGTAATTTTTCTCTCTTTGATAATTACTTGTACTTTTTACAATCATAGTGATCTTAAGTTTCTACGTGAGTCGTTGCATCACGTTTGCTTCTATATATTGCTTCAAGTTTTTCTTCCATCGTCACTACTATCCTCGCCTGAGTGAGTTATTGAGTTATCTATTATCAGTTTTACAAACAGCTGTCCAACATAATATCCCCACCCACCGATTTTTATCTGGAGACTTTAACGGCCGTCTATCATATTTGCGACACACCATCCTATTCAAACCTTATAGTTATTATCGTGGTGAAACGTGTGTTGCATTTCAGTCTGTCTAAAGGGGTAATACTTCCTAAATGGGTCGTACTAACTGCGGAATCTGTACGGAATTTCTACAACATGCTGCCCCAAATGCAACAACCTTTTCCACTCTTTCTGTATCAATGATACTTCAAATAATTCACAATGGATCTGTAACGATTGTACTTCCCTCCCCAGTCAAAAAAGTACCGACGACATGTTTAACCTCATTTTGCAAGAATTAAAATCTATCAAGTCCAACCAATCCAATTCAGATGAAGCTCTGAAGGTAATCTCTTCCTCGGTTAAAGCGTTGAATGATAGAGTTTTGGGGCAAGGTAAAACTATGACGTCACTTAATCAAGCAATGAACACCTTAAACGGAAATTTAAATACTGTAACCAGCGATGTAAAGTCACAAGGTGCAATTATTGGAGGATTAAATACAAGAATCGCTGCAATCGAAAAAAGTTTGTCCGAAGCAGTGCATTGTCCACCACCTACTACTACTCCTCTTGCTCTGAATGACATTACTCATTAAATCCAGTTAGTGTATACACATCAACTTTCGACTGACTTATCTTAAACATTACAGAAGAAGCATTATTTCCACCAAATATTTGGGCTCAATGTAGTGCTGAATTGAATTTAACTACGAATGCATGCGAGTCGAATCACTCACATTTAGCTCAGTCCTTTGATAACACACATCCAAATATACATCACTTTACAAAAGCTCTACTAGATAATCAATCATTCACTTACATTAAATTAAACAGTATTAATGAACCTAATAACCTTAGAAATTCACAATCAAAGACACGCCAAAAATATTTAAACACCATCATTTCGTCATTTAAGGCAAACAATATTACCACTATGCAATTCGTCAAAGCTGCATCTAAACATTATCAAACCAAATTTTAAAACCAAACAAATTTTTTTAAAACCTAAATTTTCTTTAAGTAATTATTTTTTTATTTATTTATTTTAATTAACATTATTTTAACTACGAAATAGTAACACTATTAATTATTATTATATCATTTATTTTAATATTGTGTAAAAAAAGATATAAGCATCTAAATATAATATATATAAATAATAAATCATCCGTACATAAATTATGTAGGAACGTATTACCTATAACGTAATGTTAATAATTATAGATTTTTCTATTTTTTCTATTTGATTTTTATATGATTTTTTTTTAAATCATTGTATTTAAATACAATAAATATATTAAAATAAAACTGCACCCACATAAATTATGTAATCTTAGTTAATCAGATTGGAATTGGATTACAATTTAAAAAAAAACATACCAGTGGAGTTTACATTTTTTTTCAGGTAAAAAAAATGTACCGGTGGAGTTAACATTTTTTTTTCAGGTAAAAAAAATGTACCGGTGGAGTTAACATTTTTTTTTCAGGTAAAAAAAACGTACCTGTGGAGTTTACATGAAAAAGGTCTAAAAAGGTCGCAATCGGTGGAGTTTACATGCGCCCATAAGATACCGATAATTATATATACATTTGTCTAGCTACAGATAAAGATAAATAAATTTGACATTTATCTAAATTGGATAAAGATTATCTAACTTTTATCTAGATAATATAGTAGGTAGAAAAAACTAATTTGTATTATACTTAAAAAACAAATATATTTCTTTACCTACTTGAACATAGAGTAACTAATAGTTAATAGGTGCATACAGTAATTTAATAATATTATGTACTATTTGGATAGTGTTCTGATAGAAAAATTTCAGTAAAAAAAATTTTAATATGATTTAAATAAAATGTATCTAGGTAAGTAAATTTGTCTTCTAAGATAACAAATAGATAGATCGGACAAAGTGGGGGGCTGGCTAAAAAATTGAAAAATTCTTAAAAAATACAAAAAATGATATGCAATTAGTTGCAATTAATTTGCAATTATTTGGTGGTATTTTTAAACGAATCGGACAAAGTTGGGGGGGGGCAACTTCATGTACATACAGCGATATTCCTGAAAATGTATACCTTGATGAATGCCCTAGTTCAGGTTCTGTCCCCGTCTCTAATTTGTTCTCATCCTATTTCAAATCCGTTTTTACTGCCCCTTCTCCTGTCTATCCAGATAACTTTCCCTTCTTATATTACGAATTTCCGAGTAACTGTAATTTTAGTGAAGCTGACGTCGAGGCTGGTTTAGAAAAATTAAAGAATGTGAAATCCATTGGACCAGATGGTCTACCAGGTACTTTCTTAAATAACCTTAAGTCTTTTCTGTGTGTTCCTCTATTTCAGATATTTAGACGATCTTTGGACGAAGGTATATTCCCTTCGATCTGAAAATTAAGTTCAATTACTCCCATCTTCAAGTCTGGTGACAAATCGAACGTTAGAAACTACAGACCCATCTCCATACTAAGTCATATAGCGAAATTATTTGAATGTCTAGTTTTACTTAACATACAGCCATCTCTTAATGCAATCTTAATCGATGAACAATATGGTTTTAGACCAGGGCGCTCCACTGCTATGAACCTAACTATTTTTAATAACTTTGTATTAGAAGCGTTCGATAATAAATCCCAGGTTGATGTAATCTTTACTGATTTTGCCAAACCTTTCGATTGAGTTCACCACAACTTCCTTTCCGAGTTTCTCTACAAATCTGAGTTTGGCGAACCTCTTCTGTCCTGGTTCAAATCTTATCTGTCCGGTAGATTCCAATTTGTAAAAATCTATGGATGTAAGTCTGAGGTCCTTCCTATCACCTTGGGAGTTCCCCAAGGTGGCCATCTTTCACCCTTTCTTTTTGCAATATTCATCAATGACATAAAAAAAACATCCCTAATTGTAATTCCCTCGCCTTTGCTGATGACATTAAAATTTTTCTCCAAATTGAATCAACAGAGGACTGTCTTGCACTGCAGGTCGAACTCAATAATCTAGTTATATGGATAAACTCTATCGGCCTCCACTTAAATGTCAGCAAATGCCAGTCAATGTCTTTTTCTCGAAGCAGAAACGCAACACTTCACAACTATACCATCAATGATACTGTGCTTGAATCTGTTACAAGTAAAAAAGACCTAGGGGTTCTTTTTACCAGTAATCTAAATTACCACTAACATATCCGATCGATAGGTTGAAAAGCCTATAAGATGTTAGGAATGTTAGGATTTATAAGACGTGTTTCATCCGATTTTAAACTGTCCTCATTAAAAACTCTCTATTGCTCTCTAGTTTGCCCTTTATTACTTTAATAAGTAAACATCCTTTCTAATTGCTAAATCATATAAAAAAAACAAAAATAATTAATATAAGTATTAAAAAATAAATAATATTATGGTACCTTTTTATTTTATTTTTAAATACCATACATTTAAATTTATAATAGGAATTTCCTTCATTGTATACTAATTACTTTATAACAAAATTAGTCTACAAAATAAGTGTGCTATTTAAACATCAATTTTTTTTTTCAACAACGTTGATGTTTAAGCAAACTTATCAATTACTTTTTATTGGTTTATTAGTATTGTGTGCGAGTGGGCTGCACACGAAACCGTTTTTGTAGTGGACTGTATGAGGGAAGAAAATAGAAGTAGGTAAAAAGATTTTGTAACTCCAAATAAGGTGATCAAACAACGAAAAATGTATTATGAATACAAACAGATAAAAGAGGGTTCGAACCACTTAATATTACTTAAACACTAACAATAACATTGATGACAAAAAAAAATAAGTAGGTACGACCTGGTCGACCTGGTGAGATACGGACGATGACGGCGAAAGTTCATAACCCTGCTGGCTGGTGACGATGAGAGTGGTGGACGGCGGTGTCGCAGACTTTTCGCGTGCGTGAAGTGCGACGGCGACTCACGATTACAAACACGTTGGACAAGCACGCCAAATTAAGGGTGCGACGACGTCGCATTAATGGAGCGTTCAACGGTTAGACCGGAAGAACTCGGCAGTTTGGGTACGCTGACACCAAACACCAGCACATCCGATTGTAAATCGGATGGCGCTCAAAGGCAAAAAAATAACAACAAAACGGAAAGCGGCGGCTGCGGCCACGTACGTCGCAACAACGATAACTCGTGATCGGCAGGGCAAAATCGAAAACGGCACGTCGACACTGACGGTCGGACCATGTGGGTTCGCTACGACGAATAGGTATACAACTTACAGGAACGCGGAACACGACGCGATTTTGGACGATACCGACAACGACACCATGATATGGACGAGAACAGCGACAACGACTGACCAAACGAAAAACAACGTATTTAAAACAACGCGAGATAACGCATCCGTGACGGCTAATACGACCAGCGGCAACGGTTGGTCGCGACAAAAACAGCTGTGTCGGCGACGGCACTGTTTAGCGGCGACCGCGTAAAAACGCATGCACACGCGTATGAGTGTGTACGCGACGTATTGTAGTTCTGTACCGAACAAGTATATCTCTTTCCATACTTAACATCAATAAGCTTTAAATCTGATACTGACCTTTGGTTAAGCGAAGTCTTGTTTTAATAAGTCAGCATATGATTTTACTAAGTATATTTGATGATATTGAGGTGAATAAAGTAATTTATATATAACCTATTTATGTGGAATCTTGTTTTAAATTTACAATCCTTAGCTATAACAGTTGAATATTTTATGCATTTTTAACTACAAAGTAATTATCAAATTTTAAATGTGATAAATGTTGTCAATATTTGAACTTTAAATGCTTATAAAAATAAATCACGAATCCCAGAAAGTACAGAAATTAAATTAAGTAAAACAATATGGTTAAATGTTAAGGATAAGATGCATCATGGAATCAAATAATATTAAAATTTATAATGTCAAACAATTATTATTATTATTGACAATTGTTATTATATTGCTTAATGATTTTCACCGGTTGCAATGTAGCAATGATATTCCTAAAATGTATTTATGGAACACGAAGTGGAGAACCCATTTAGGAATTCTGATTACTGATTAGTGTTATCGTGTTGTTATGAGCTTTCGACCGGCGGCATGCCGACATTCATATTTCGTACTGGTACCTCCTGACTTTATTGTTTTTAGTTTTTACTGCATGTTTAAGCTGTTTTAACGATAGAATAACAAATGATTGTACGGGCTTGCATAGTCCCTGAATAATTATTATTTTAGTTTATGTATAGCAGTATAGGTACAATTTAATTGATATGTTACATATCCTTATATAAGTCATAAGACTCAGACTACCCAAACCACCCAAAACAACTAAACCCACCGATCCACCCACCTCTAAAAATTCAGAGTTAAATTCAGAAGCACTATTAAAAAATATATATTTAAATTTCTTAAGATTTAACTCTAATAGTTTGTTATCAAACCATTCTTTAACGTTGTTTATAATTCTGCTGGCATTGGAGTATAATAAGTCATTGTTTTTATCTGTTACAAGAATTACAGTATCATCAGCTTAACTAATAAATTTAGAACTATGATTCAAATTTAATAAGCCATTAATATAAATAACAAATAAAATGGGGCATAGAACGGTACCTTGAGGAAGACCATGTGAAATGTTCAATTGATTACTGTAAACATTATTTATTTTTAATAATTATGTCTTATTTAATAAATAAGATTGCATTAGATTATAAATGTTTCCTCTAAATCCAGCATGGTATAACTTTTTTAGAAGTATAGAATGATTCACACTATCAAACACGTTTTTGATTTCAAGAAATATATGTAAAACTTTATTATTGGAATCTAGGTTGTCATGTAACACTTTGTTGAACAAAAATAAAGCATCATTGGTTGACCTGTTAGGTAAAAATCAAAACTGGTTTTTTGGGAAAAACTCAATTTTGTTCAGCAATAGCAATATCCTACTTTTAATACACTTAATATTTTAGATGTAGATAATGATAGTGCTATTGGGTGAAAATTACTGCAAAAAAAGGGTCACCCAGTTTGAATATAGTTACAACAACACATTTTTTGAAACAAGAGGGGAATGCTAACTGTGAGTTAGACAAGTTAAAATATAAGATCGATAGTTTCGATAGTTTGATAGTTTTATAAAACTATCGAAAAACTATCGAACTATCGAAAAACTAACTTACTATCGAAACTATTGAAGTATCGAAAAAGTATCGAATTATTGAAAACTAATCGAACTATCGAAATTTTTTACTTTTTAGGTTAGGTTATGTATTATTTACTATTTAGCCATGATGTTGTCATTCGAGATTCGAAATTCAACAATCGAAGTTGGCATTTTTTAAAAAAACCCAATCACCCCTGATGTGGCCATTTGTAAACACTGTAAAAAATCCTATTAACGTACTAATGGTACAACTAATCTGTCGGACTATTTGAAGATTCAACACATTTTACCTCTGGAAGGTCATATGGGTCATAAGATTAGGTCCTAGGTTATAATATGTATTTAAAAACATGTCTGGAACAAGGTTTTAAGTATTTACCTTGGACCGTAAATTTGCTATTGTTTTTAGCTATTTTATACATAATATATATTTATAGCTGAGATAAGGTAAGTATGAAACATAGGGTGAACAATGACATCTTGCTTGCTGCACACACTGCATAATGCATACAATCTACTTATTTCTAGTAGTCCTGGTGCCTGGACGGATATTTTTAATTGTTGTAACAATGTAACATATTGGAATCCTTTGAAATTTTGATTACATGTTAATAACAATTTTAAAAATAAATATTTTGTTTCTTTTTTTTTGTTAAATCTTTAGCCAAATAGTTTGGATAAAATGTATACTTTTGTAGTGTTTTAGTATATCAACTGTCCCTCTATTACAAATCACACACAGCAAAAAAACTATTAAATCCTCAGATTTTACCAATCACAAAGTTACCTAAAATATACTAACCCTCAATTTTCTTCTCATAAGTCATAATGACAATACGATTCTATACAATGCTTAATAATATTTAAAATATCTATTTATAAATATCAAAAAATCACTCGGTAGTTTTTCAAACTATTGATAGACAATCGATAGTCAAAACTAGTCAGTTCCACTAACGAATGAAAACTATCGAGGAATTCATTCGATTGTTTAATTGAAAAATCACTCGCTAGTTTTTCAAACTATCGATAGTTAAAACTAGTCGGTTCCACTAACAAATGAAAACTATCGAGGAATTCATTCGATGGTTCTAAAAACAATCAATTAATAATAATATCTATTAAATTGAAAAATCACTCGATAGTTTTTGAAACTATTGATAGACAATCGATAGTGAAAACTAGTCGGTTGCGCCCATCACTATAATTTACATTTTTATAGGTAGGTGCACATCATATTTTGCCTAAAATGAAATATGAATTATATTTTATATTCTATTAAGATTTTCACTATGACGAAATAAATGTACAATAATAATATATATTATAGTTAATTATTATTTTGAATGTTTTTAAGGTAAAATACTAAAATGGTTAAGTGTTTTATAGTATATTGCAAATCTGGTTATGCAACTTGCAAGGATAAGGTAATAAATCATTAAAATATAATTATTATCTAAATTTTTAAATTATAATTATTAGATACATCCAGTGGTTGAATTTTAAAAAAATGTACTGAAGGTGCAAAAATGAAAAGAAATGTATGTAACTGAAGATACCTAATTATATATCTAAACGTATACTCACTTTATTGACTTAAATAGTAAAATATAATTAAAGGAGTTTTTTAAAATATTTTTAAAAAAGAAGGCCTCAACCTCCCCAATCAAGTACCTACTGGTTACATATGCTTTACAGTCTTAAAATATAATTTATCGTATTAGGGTTCAATGTTTAAAGCACATGCAAGACAACCAGATTTTGATAAGTGGAAAAAAGCAATACCAAAAAGTTTTTTATATCGATATAGAACTAAGAAAAAATTAATTTGTTTGTTCAAAACACTTTAGAAGAAGAAATTATATGATTTTGGAGTTCTGGAGAAGGAGACTTGCAAATAAAGGTAATATTGGCATAATTCTGGTTTAGCAACCTGTCGATTTTTCAATTTTTTTTTTCCTTAATGTGTATTTAATTGTTCTTTATAAGAATGTAAAAATAAAAAATTAATTAAAAACTTCGTTTTGAGGTTTTTAATAAAAAACATCAAAAACTAAATATTTTCGTTAAGCTCATTTAAAAAAAAAAATACTTAGAATTTAATATTTTTAATTTTTTGTTTTTCAAAATGTGTGGTTATAACGCTGATTTCGAAACTTTTTTAAACTCTTACTTTTTCGAAACCATTATTTTGGAAGTTATAGCCATCCAAAGTTTGCGATTTTACGTTTATACGCATGTGTGCAACACTATTTTAATGCTGCGCTGAGAAACTCGTGTTTGGCGTTTTTCGATTTTTTTGTAGCGAGTGAGTGGCAAAGCTATCACATTATGTGCTTTTTAATAACTTTGTTTAATTCCGAGGCCTGTCCAAGGTGGTTTTACATACGACTAGAAAATCGGGGGATATTTTCGATTTTTTGTCCGAGCGATATTCAATTCTAAGTATTTTTTTTTTTTTTTAAATGCGTGTTATATACAAATAAAATTAAGTTTTTGAAGTTTTTCATCAATAACTTCAAAACGAAGTTTGTCCGGGCTTTTTTTTAAAATCGAAAAGTTGCTAAAACAGAATCGTTCCAAATATACTATTCTAAAAAGAGTGTCATAATCATAATGTAGTGACAGTCGTACGTAGTGAGATTTACATAATATATGTAATATAATATAATAATATATGTAATAATATAAAAAAAAAGAATCTAAATTATGCGTTACATAGTTTTTAAATACTTTTAAATTAGGTTATAAAAAAGTTACATTTTATTTTAATTAATCTAACCTGTAGCATTGCCCATTGATTTTATAATATTAACTTCATTTATTAATGTTTACATTTTACCTAGCATAACATCGAATTTATAATATAGTAATACATGTCTTCATTTTCATTTATTTATGTGTAATTAACTTTGTTTTTGATCTTTGATGAGACTTTTTGTTCATTTATTGTATGAAATCTGTATTGCAAGTGTGAAAACTAAGGCCAAAGACTGCGTGTGATCTAGCGGTAAACCTGCAAATAAAACATATTCACTGGGACAGTTCCTTTCATTATGAATATACGACGGTGCTTATACCTCTATAATCTACCATGGTTACTATTATAACAGTAATTTAATTTTTTTTTAATTATAATTTAACGGATCAGCAGTAAATTACAATTAAATTACTATACTATAGCAGTAAATTACCAGCCCACAAAATCGGGCATTACTGCGCCCTCAGTAATATTTCCAATGATATTTATTGGAACTAAACATGTTACTGACTTTTTATGATCACTCATAAGTTTGGGCACAGATAAATATAAAATTCTATTTTTTAATAATTTTCGATGAAATTTTAAAAATTTGAGTGATTTTCTGAGCAGGGTAAATTAATAATATAAAATGTGAAGTGACCACGAACGTGTTAATGCATTTGAGTTTAACTACAACACCAGTTCATCAAAATGTGGCCCTATACTTCTAATGTTCATTGCGAAAATAGATAAATTATTGTTATTCATTATATTTGCAGATACTTATCTAAATTTACAGTATTTGTGTTTTTGAATAAATTAATATCTTTTAAGATGTTAGAATCCATAATAAAAAGTGATTTTGTATATAATAATTAGAATTTTAAGATAATATAGAAATTAGAAATATTTAAAAAAAAAACTAGTATAAGAACTTACAATTTACTAATATCCTTGTCTGACTTGATTCTTAGAGTTTTTCCGCCATCCTCCTTTTTAGCCAATATTTCCGCTTTATTAACCCATACATATTTGTAAAGTTTTTCCTTGCAAGCCAGTTTAGTTTTTGAAAACGATGTTCTTCTATTCTTAGTGAGCCTTTCATTTACATTGATTTTTGAATCCGTTGACCAGTTATCATGAATCATATTTGCATTAAATCGCATTAATTTTACCTTACTTAGAAAATCATTCCTCATATCAGAAGTTACGAGCTCATCAACTATGATGTTTTTTTTTTTATTATCAGACGATTTTAGTGATATATTGGAATTGGAATTTTGAGCTATATCTTGAACGATATCCAAACCATTTTAGTTTACAGTTTTTGGAATGCCTTTCAGTACGATTGTATTTTCAATGATTTTTTTTGTTCCAATTCGTCAATTTTTTGATTTGTTATATTGATTTTATCTTCAAGTAATTTATTTTCTGTTAATATTTTGGAATTTTCAAGATTTAATTCTCTGAATTCTTTCAAAATACAGTCCATTTTGTTATTAAAATCATCAAATTGATTTCCCACAAAGTTTTTTTTTCTTGATATAATGTTTTCATCAGTTATTTTATCAAGTGACTTAGATTTAGAACTAGAACTAGACATGTTACACTTATTGCAGACAAATCTCGTTTTAGAATTATTTGAAAGTTTCTTAAATGCATTATCATTATAAAAAGCACATAAAAAGTGAAAAACGACAGTACATGTTGAGCAAGCAATTGAATCCTCGTCATGAATTATGAAATCGTGACATTTTTTGCAGGCATAGTAACCCCAATAGAATACTGGTAAAATTGAAATAAAAAAAAACCATAAATAGCGACAAACATATATAAACGAATAGACAGATCACAGATTACAAGTTAATCCAACACATAAAGTAATGACAGTAGGAAAAAGAGATAAGAGAGCACTGTAGGAAAAACTCAACTGTCCCGGTCAAAAGACAGTACCGTACCTTGTTTTACATTTTCGATCCTTAACTATTAAAATTGAATATTTTATATAATTTTAACTACAAAATAACATTAGGAACAACAAATTCGGAAAAACTTTTGAACATCAAACAATAATCATAAAAAAAAAAACAAATTTCTTATTTCCCTTTTTTATTGTTTAACATAGCGAAACTTATGGAGAATCATGTATTCAATTTTAAAAACTTACATAATATATTAGAGAAAATATTTTATAAATTTTTATCTCAATATTATTTGCATAAATAATATTTGGTAAGAATGTTAAGTATCTATCTATTTTTATTTTCTAATTTTCTACTTATGGAGAATCTTGTACTACATTTTAAAACCTTAAATACTTATATGTATAGAGAACAATTTTTAAGAATTTTTATTTCAAAATTATTTGCGTATATTTTTTTTTTTTTATATATTTTAATAATTTTAACGAATCATGTAGAAAATCTAAATTCAGACGATTTAAAAAAGTGCTGTGGATTGACATCCAACATTTTTAAAATTTTATATTAAACCACAATCTGTGAGGAAACTTGTATTTCATTTTTGACATAGTTAAAAAATGTTTATCAACATTTATTTTAAAATAAAAAATAATAAAAATTGAAATTCTCTTATTTATATTATTAGCTTAAAAAGAGTGAAACAATTTTGAAAATTATATGGCGGATACAAATTCTTATACAAACATTTGGTAAAAATTGTATTTTTATCTATCCTTATTTTCAAATTAACAACAAAACCAAATCGATTTTGTCAAAAACTAGGTTTGAGTAAAAATGTACTTTTTTCTTTAATATTTTAGATTAATTGCAGAGTGATGAATGTATTGAACTTACAAAGACGTATTTTTTTTATTATTGTTTTTTTTTTGTTCGTAACTTTGTACCACAAAAAGTAATTGAAATAATACTTTGAACTTTAGTATCTTTTCTGCTGGTACAGTGAATCTAGTCACTGCATTCAGGATGTTAAAATTCCCAGTAGTTTTCAAAATCGCTAGGAAAAACAAAAAAAAAATAAGGAAAAACGTTTTAAGCAAATTTAGTTTTTGACAAAATAGGTTTTGGTTTTTGGCGTAACTCTAAAAAGTTGACCGTTGATCCTACAATTTTACTGAATGTTGTTATTAGCATTTTCAGTATACCATAACATTTTCAAAATATTTTGTACCATGTTGGGCTATTTATAAGCATATCATAGTTTTGATTTTGCTCAGAATCGTTTTTCGTCGCTATGATTTTACATCATTGAACTTAACACATCCATTTCAGTGACTTCTCTAGACTTTAGTATTTACAACAAATAATGAATAAATAGACCCATTTTTCAAATAAGATCAGCCTAAATGCAGCTCAAATAATAGAAGCATTTTTACTGTTCTAAAACCCAAAATTAAAAAAAAACACATTATTTTTACTGGTACTTCGTCACTCCTATAGTCCTATCTGAATCTAAAAGCTTTGAAAGATACGCTCCACACAAAATAACGTTATAATACAGGTAGGTAGGTAGATACTTTATACAAAATGTAAATAAATAACACGTACCATTTTGTTCTGTAAACGATAATGTTATAATGTTTAATCAATTTATAACTACCAGATAGTTATGAATTGATTAAACATTATCTATAAATAGGTAGTTACTACCTATGTATACATAACATATTCAATAAGTAGATTATGATTAATAGATAGATTAAGTAGATATCACTAAATGGACAATGCACATAATATCAAATTTTAGCTGTTAGAACCGCAATGTAAGATTAAGTCTAGTAACTATTCCTATATTTGATCTTTGGTACCCTTTTAACTTCACTCGTAATCTACCTTCCACAAGAAAATGATCCGAATCTCTGTCTGCTTAATGAACGGTTCTTACAGTACGAGAGAGGATACGCGTATATAATTTCACTCCCACTAATTATCATTTACAGCTAACACATAGATCCCGGGTGGCTATTACAAGATTATAAATTGCCTAAATGTTGCCCCTTAAATAATAGTGAGGCCCCTTAACCATGTGACGATACAACATTTATTTCATTACTTTATATAGAATTCTTACTATACCAGCCATCTGGTAATCAATCGAACATTATCATTTGTCATTTAAATGCTCGTCGTTTTTGAATTCATGCTGGTGAGCACTACCTATACTAAAACTTAGGTAAGTAATAGTGAGCTGGCGGGCGTAATAGTTTCAAGACCACTGCCACCAGCAGCTTTTCTTCAAAAATCTTAAATCAAAGCAGCATAATTAATATTCTTAAACATCTCTTATACACAAAAACTCATCAATATGGGTCATCCGAATATGTTAATGGTGTAATTGACAATATAAAATTAGGCACAACACCAAAAAGTCATTTAGCATTATGACTACCTTGATGAGCAAGGCCTCAAATAGCATAAATACTAGTCGATGACTGTGTACACTCTGAGCCTAAGAAGTCGAAATTAATTATTTAATACTATAGTACAATCTTGAAATCTCACACAGAATGAAATAAACATTATATTTTAGTAATATAATAACAAAACAAAAATGTACGTACTAAGCCAATCTTGAAAAAAAAATATAATAAGAATAAATTACTGTAGAAAATATTTATATAATTTGGATAACATTGTTGAAATTCTGAAAATATCATTAATTGATATACCTAATATAGGTATACCATGAAAAACGGATCACATAAAAACCTATTTAAGTAATTCTATAGCACACAAATAATCAATAGGTCAGGGCTTGCATTGGGAAAAAAAATTCCTTTTTACATTATTTACAATTAAAACGTTAAACAATTTTCGTGTTTATCATTATTTAGAATTAAAAAGTTATACAAGTTTTGCTCTAATCGTTGTTTGGTATTAAAACGTTAAAGAAGGTTTAAGTTTGTCGTTATTTAAAATAGTGTTAATATCTAATAAATTTAAAAATAATAACTAATTTGGGTAGGTAATGGCTCATGTACAGAATATAATATAATCAATTCTTAGATTCTTTGCATGAAATAAATGTTTCTAAGAACCCAATATTTTTTTTAAATGAACAAATTTTAAAGTATTTCTCTTTTCGTTATTTTTCGGTCAATGATATTCTATAAATTACGTTTTGCTTTATGTTTTCTTTAATGATATACATATAATATATTTTTTTAACCGTTGTGTTTTGTTTTGCAGTATTTAACTATTTTTGATTATGGCATTCCGTTATAACTAAGTTTACAAATTTCAATCGTTTTTTTGTCAAATATAACGCTATTATAACATTTGCAAGCCCTGAAATAGGTACAGTAAAAAACACAAAAATTACGTACTTTTCAATTCATCTAGATAATCAAAAAACAAATATTTGTGGTTAAGTTTTTATTTTTATATTAATTCTATTACAACTTATTAATCATAATATGAAAAATTTGGGTAAATAGACATTTATCTGATAAAAAGTATGGTTGGTGTCTACAAGGCCACTGTCATGAATGTGTTAAATTTGGATTTACTATACATCATTATAATATAGGTTAATTAAGACCTAAAATTACTAAAAATATTCACTTTTCTACCGGGAAGGGTAAGAACCTAAGTAGAAAATCAAAGCTCTTGTACTGTTCCAAAAGGCGAGGACCGACACAGTAAAAAAACACACACACAAACACACATTATTGTAAAATCGATTCTTTCAGTATCTAAAACTAATATTCATTTAAATTTATTACTGTCATAATTTATAAATAGATAGAAGTAATATTTATTGTACAATATAATAACTATATATTCCCCTGAGGGTTGGAGATTAGAATACACCCTCGGTAGTCCATGCCCATAAGAAAGAACCAACATTGACCTAGAGGAGTTCAGCAGCTCTTCTAGTATTAAGCGTAAATTAATTTATGCTTATACAGTACCCTTTAGTAATATAGGATGCTACTGCGATGTGGAATTCAAGGGGAAACCACCACATTATCATCCCTAGTGTAAAACACTAAATGTTCAGTATCCATGGTCTTAACAAATCAAAAAATTATATCACATGGAAACGGCTTTATTGGAAAGGCAGTTCCCGGCACGGTTTCATATAAGGTGCTTCAGGTCATCAACAAGCGAAATACTTATAAAAAAAAAGAACATGGAATGCAACAACAATGTTACAAACATTAAAACTAAAAAATATAAAAATTGAAATGTACAGACAAAATATAGAAATATTAGGTCTAAGTGAAACAAGATGGACTGGAAATGGTGATTTTAGATCAGATAAATACAGAATAATATACTCAGGAAAACAATCAGGTAAAGCCGGAGTGGCATTGGTATGAAACGGTAAATGGGCAAAATCAGTTATAGGACAAGCCACAATTTCGAACAGACTAGTAATGGTGAAATTAAAATCAGATCCAAATGACACGATAATACTACAAGTATATAAGCCCATGTCAAATGACGACATCAGAGAAGTTGAAAAAGTTTACGCAGACATAGAAGAACTTTTAAAACTAACAAAAAAGAAGGATAATGGCATCATAATGGGTGACTTCAATGCAGTCATTGGCGAATTATCAGATGAAAAAGAAGTCAGAAATTATGGATTAGGGAAGAGGAATGATAGAGGTGATAG